GGATGGTCTTTGGACAAGTCTTTGTAGGCCTTTTCAGCTGCACCATCTGCCCTGCGAGATGCCCGTACCACGAAGGATTGGCTGGAAAGCCAGAGCGTCACAAGCGTCAACCGCATGGCCGTGCTGAACATGACAAAGTTGGATTTTGCACACGAATCGAGATCAGGGATCAACAAATTGAGCCTTGTGGATGAATCAGCGTCTGATCGATTGATATACGAAGAAACGTGGACTTCCGCAAGTCACACCCATCTTTCGGTGGTAACACTCCTTAATTGATACGAGCCAAGAGACTGGCGCCTTCCGCGTCGTCGGCATCTCCTGCGTCGGCCACCACATAGCCCGAGCTGTTGCAGCTCCTGAGCGGAAGGGACATCGCGCACATCCAACAGAAGGGCGAGAGTAGGGAGTTGAGGGTCTTGGAATCCAGCTTGAGTCACCTGGGTGAGAAAAAAGAATCATGGAACAAAACTAGATGGAAACCCGATGAGATCAGAATCCTCAATCATCGGCCGTATGGCACCTCTGCAGCGCCAAGAGTACCAAACATTTGTTTTTCCTTTCTGACTCATTTCTGACGTCTATTGCTGCTATTCCTCATGGTGGGGCGCGCGTGTACATGTGTTACTAAATATGTTGCATGGCTCCAAAATGATCAACGTTCACACAATGGTCAAAAGGGCCTCTTGACACCCGGAGAAGCCAACACAATACCTGTGGTTGACTAACTGGGATCTCAGCGAGCTGCGAACTTGTCACACTGTCGGCAAATGCACTTGCCAAGTAGACGCACTGGCGCCCCCAAAAGCCAGCTTTGAAGACCCCCTTGCTAGCACTCGCACCACATCCGCAGCGTCCGAGGGACAGAACACCAAGTCTTTGCCGGTTTTGGGCCCCTTTCGGTATCAAATGGTATCAATGTTCCCACACTTTGTCACCATTTCCATTCTGGAGGACTTTGATTTGATGATGGGATCTTTTTCAATTTTCTCATTCGCAGGCTTTAATGACTGGCGTTGCCATTCCCTGGATGAAGCACTCAACAAAAACACACACCAGGAGTCACAAGACGGGGTGGTTTCTAGTCCCATCCAGTGAGAGGATGATGGCCACCCCTATCCTGGATAGTTAAGCACCCCTTCGTGACTCCTGGCACACGGTCTTTCATTGGAGTCGCCAGACTTCAGCGGAAAGAACCGGTGCCAAGCATCAAACAGCGGAAGTCACCCGTCTCGGTGGCTTCGCAGTCCACGTCCTTCGTCGTGCGGTTCAAGATGACAGGTCGCGGCGGTTCACCAGCCAGCAATTAGCAATTGGGAGCTACGTGGGGCACCCGAAAGAAGTTTGGAAGAAGCGAAAGAATCCAAGATCATCTAAAATCTGCGCTTTGATTAACATGTGTGCCGTGTCACGTGCTGAAACTAAACTGAACGAATATCCGTCTAACTAAATGTTTATGACAAATATGTATATATATAGAGAAGGTTTTCAGGACCTCTGCAGGTGGCGAGTCCACAAATACATTCCATGACGCAAGCGTTTGTTTCCAGCCCCGAGAATGAGCTGAGGTAAAATTCAAGACTCATTCACATCAAAGTGAGGTATAATATATATAAGGTATAGGGTCCAAAGACCAAATGCCGAGGTAATGGTCGGAAAACCTCGTGTCAATACCAACTGATTAGCAAACAAATCAACACCAAAAATAAACCATCAACAATCCATTCCATTGCATTTCCACCTGGTTGAGTTCTGGCCTCCTTAAGCTGATTTTTTCCTTGGGCTCCATGCTCGTGAGATTTGAATCTTTGTGACTAATTTCAGCCGCCTCGGTTCGTCTTACCCCCCGCCTCAGAGCACTTGTGGCAAAAACCCTGGGGCATGCTGTCGCACGGCCGACCGCCGGTGTGGTCGGCAGTGCGGTCGGTACTGTGGCTATAGATTGGAACAACCCCTGGACGAATTGTGGCCTAGTAGTCCAGGAGCTGCAGTTTCAGGGCTTAGTTGCTGGCTTCTAGTGTCCCTGCAGCCTTGCTTCGATGTGTTTGCAAATGAATTCGCACTAACATCTGGAAGGCTTGAGGATGCTTGAGGTCTGAAAGCTCTCTCATCTAGCTTTACGTGGAAAATGTGAGGGCTGCCACAGAAAATGGAGACATCCAAGTGCATCTGGTAGTAGGGAAAGTCTCCAAACACTCATGAAAACGATTGGACACACGTGAATTGAACTTCATGTCATGGAAGTTGGCAAGTACTTTGATCTTGCAACTGCGATGCAAGTCCAAGCATTGTCAGCATTGTGGTTGGCTTAAAACCATCTTCTACCTTCCTTGGATTGCTCATCGCATATGACTGAGTTGAACTTATGATTCTCTCAAGGATGACGATGAAAGCATGTGGAAGCACTGATCCTGAAGCATCATTCTCCTCAGCAATCCAACAAGGCTACCTCAGAAAAAATGGAAGAACAAAAAAACGAAAAACACGTGGCCATATGTGGCCTCTGCTTTTTAGACCCTTTTTGTGCCACATTGCGCCACATTGGGCGCGTCATTGCAACCAGGTGGACATAGACTGGCAAAGCCCACGCTGGAGCTTAAAAGACTCACTTTGGAACCAGCTGTGAGGGTCGGCCCCAAGACCCTCTGGCCATTAGAAATAGCTATATGGGCAGCAACAGTGGATGATGGTGATGGGTAGTAAAGGCCTTGTTCAAGAATCGTGATAATTGTTAACTGACTGTTCCAGGTAATTGGGACAAACCCAATATATACTCTCGTGAATCTACTGAGAATTTCCTTTCAGTGAGTCTCACAGTCTCCCCCCCATCCATCTCAACCAGGAGCAAGAAAATGACATGGTGCGCAATTTTGTCTATCAGGTGCAGTCCTATGACATATGTAAAACAACATTGACGAACCTGTGTCTGTGTCTTGGAGCTGGGGGCATCCCTCAAACACAAGCCATGCTTCTAGAAAAGACACACCTCTACACTAAAACCAACTGAAACGCGAAACCCCTTTTCAAGACAGAACCTGCTCATCAAGAAACATTACAACCGCATGATTGGGGGGCCGTTGCCGGCCCCGGGTTCTACAGTCGAACGGGCGCTGTTGTGCGATGCAAAACGAACCATTCACTCTCAGAAGACGACGGGAATGGTGCTGGAAGAAGAGCCAAATTTTGGAGATACCTCAAAGTCATAAGTCATCATATTTTTTTGAGATACTCCAGCGATCGAATCCACAAACTTGCTTAAAGTATATAGCTTCATCATAGCTTCATCATGTTTCTGCATACTTGGGTCCCTTTGGGGAGTTGTCATGTGCTGGCGGAGCGATAGCATCACCTCTTTGAGATTTGGGGCCATTCACTCTTAGCTGACGTGCTTGTTCATTCGGATGACGTGGCGTTGACGCGAGGCATCCACATGCGCTCAGCCGCCGGAGGTCACAGCGCGTCTCACTGAGCACTCTCAAGATCCTTAGTCCGTATCACGCTGATGCCGGACCATCATTCATTAAAATGACCTTGACCAACATCAGCACCGTTGCAACTACCATCACCACATATCACCACCACCATCATAATCATAAGCATAAGCATACTAGTAATAATCATAATCATCTTCTTCATCACAACTACCACCACCATCTCATCATGATCATCATGGTTATATATTGGTTATCTTGCCAACCCGTGCGCCAGGGAAACGTGCCTTTGATGTTGAGGCACGTGTGCCTGAACAGGACAACTCCTTGCTTTACACCAGTAATGAAGATCTATCCTCAACCTGGCTGCCATTTTGCCGTGATCTTTTCAAGAGGTGTACTTCCGTTTGTGAATAGTCCTTCAGAGTCAAACATGTGGAACAAGTATGACGTCTCATGGTCTTCTGCATTGGTAGGATGCCCGTCTTCTTGCGTGCTCACAGGCATGTAGCCAGCCTGCATGGCCAGAAACGCAGCACAGGAACGGTGCTTGTTGTGGTGCGCTGCTGTCACAAAAGCACACCACAAAGCGACTTTAAAAGTAGACCAATCCAAACCTTTGGTGGTGCAGTAGGGGCTGCATCTGAAATGGCCAAACTGGGATCGTTTCTCGCTACGTACCCTGACTCTTGTCATGAATGACACCAAGGAGACATCAACATGATTGATCCAAATATTTGGAACCATCTGATGCTTACCAAAGACAAAAAAACAGGCATGACAGCGGGGAGGCAGGGTTTCTGTTCAGAAATGGCCCCGCCATCGTGTTTTCTGGTCTTTGAGGCGTATAGGACGAAATCTTAGATACCCTTTGCATCAAAAAACCTGATCTTCATTCATGCGTCTTCATTTGGACAAAAAACAGATTCTTGTTGACATAGACATGGGAATCCATAAATATGCACAAGAGAATAGAAACGGCCAACATCATAACATCATTATCTTCCATAGTTACTGTTCATGGATAAGAATGATGAGAGGCCCTGGGACAACACCAGTTAGCACCCAGCCCATGGGGCCCAAGCCCACTCTAACCAAAAGGGGAGCACTGCAAGCTCTCGAAAAGGAGCACATAGTATCGTTCCATCTTTGCAGTGATGCAACTCCCCCAATGGTATCACCGTCGCCTCTTCAGGCCGAAAACGTGGCATTCTTCTGCGGAAGAGGTGGAACACCGTCGTGGCGACACCTGGGCTTTTTCCAGCCGAAAAGGATCGGAGCTAGGTCCCCGACCCAGTCGTGGTTAGAACCGAGCTGCGTGTCGGGCCATGCGGCATGGAACCAATTTTGGAGCGTTGCGGGCAACGACAAGGGTCAGGAACCAGCATGACTCGGGGAAGCGGAGACCGAGGGACCAAACCAAGATCTAGCCGTTTTTCCTGGAACATCACTAAAGGCTATAGCCTTTTTCCACCCGTTGGATTTTCAGGTGGGGAAACCAATTTCCAAAAATGGTTAATTACTGTAAGAGGCTATCCATGGTTTTCTACTGACTGGGTAGGTTGCCACGCTCCCACTCCCAAAAGGAAAAGTCTTCGGTCAGTCAGTCAGTCAGTCAGTCAGGGGTTTCTGCTTCGTCCGGATCGAAATGGGCCGACTTTGAAGCACCCATCTCAAGGGGACCCGAGGCTTTGGCAACATGCCGGGGCGGCTGCGGGCTTTGTCCAACATGTATGCAGCCCGCATTTGGCTTCTAGTGACCCCAAGAACCCCACCTTGAAGCAAAGTCCTCTGCCTCCTAGATCCTTTCCTTAATACTCAGGCAGCCTGGAGCACTGGAGCCTGAAGGGTTGGCAAAAACAAAAGCATATCAGTAATCTTCAAAATAAATTAATGAGAACGTCTTGGTAAGTTCGACAATCCACTTCTACAAGTAAGAAGTGCTGTTGTTGTGCCATGCTGAGCCCTCAGCTCAATGCTACGAAAAAGCACTGCGGGGTCGAGATGGCCTGCAGCTGGAGGCAGAAATATGTTGAATTCATCGCGGCGTGTATTCGTAGTACAACTATCCAGCCTAACAAGGACAGTTCGAAGATGTTCGAAGGCTTCTGTCTTTGCTGTAAAGCTTGAGCCCAACCAAGGTTTGCCATCATACAATTCTTCTCTGAGTTCTGCAGGCAGCAGTCTTGTCCCAGTGCAACTCAGCTGTTCATCCGCGTAAAAATGGCGACTAAGCTAGTGGCGAAGGAAAGGAAGGAGCTTGGCAACTCGCCGATGGCCTGCAGCGACTGCCACTCACCGACCTGCCACCCTGTCAAACCTGCCAAACGGCGGTTTATAGACAGAACATCGATCAACCAGGACCATCCTGTCTGGGTGTCCTGGCTAGACTCTAGACCACTAGACCACCCCACACTACCTAGGGACTTAGGGACCTCCAGCCAGGACACCCAAACAGGATGGTCCAGGAACCCATGCAAGGTCCAATTTGGCCCTGGTTTGGGGGGGGTTGGGGGCTTGGATTTTCTGATTCACCACCTCCTCGCCACCTCGCCTCCAAGGAGGAGAAATCGGGATGGAAGAGCGTTCGGTTCCTGGATGGTGACAATGACAAAAATGAACGAACCAAGCCCGTTGCAGTTAAAATAACATCATCCTAACAGTTTGACAGTAGAAAGTGGCGCCCAAATCAGATCTCCAGTAGTTAGGAGAGTTGCTCTGCCTGGCATCTCTTCATGTCACACGGACGGCCGAGATGCCCACGGATCTCAATCGGTCCTGGTCATTTGGCCATGCCCACCTTGGACGGTACAACTGCCGATCGGACCCCAAAGCTTTATGATGGCATGCGTCCAGCTGTCCCAGCTGCTCCTGGTTTGGCCAAATGGGCCCCCAGCATGGGAATCAGCCTGGTTGGCCTTCACTCTCCAGGTCACCCCTCATCCCAGGTCACCCTCAACCTGAGGAACGCCCTCATCTTCCTACATCTGGGGCAAAACAAACTCTTCACCCCTGTCAAGCTGATATGTAGAAACATGTAGCAGCGAGCTGTGAACTGGCAATTTCAGGCCCGTCATCGTCCTCTGAAGTTGTTGGCCTGTCAACCTGACTAAGACCTCAAGAATCTTTGGGACGTGACCCTCTTGCAAGAGCTTCAACCACCTACTCTATCCTACTCTCACCCACGTTCTTCATTTCGACCCTCAGGATCACACTAGATATCGCTAGTATATCGCGCTTCGTCACATGGCGCTGCGACCATGTCACATGGTGAAGAGCATTCACTCCATGCGGCCCACTGCGTCCAAGTACAAATCCTGGCATTGGTCGCGCATCAGTCGTGCATTGGTCGCGTCGTTTTGGGTGTCGCGGTCGAGCTGTTCAATGAAGAAAAGCTCCATAGTTGAGGGCATATTCTGTATGCCCTTGGATCTTGGAACACATTCAGTTGAAGCTTGGTGGTTTGGTCCTCGGGGGAAGTATTCTCCCAATCGCACGAAGTAGGGTTCCGAAGAACGTGCTGCTGATATGATCATTCCAACGTGCTCCAAACACATTAATTCAATGAATCGGCCACACAAAACAAGCAAGGCATTTAAGGTGCGTGCCAATTCCAACGGTCACATGAACTTGGAAGGTCTGGTGGTTCCAAACTGTGGCGTTCCATGCACTTTTTCAAACCATTTGCATCCTGCCACTCATCCTGCTTCCTGTTTGCCAAGCTGGGCCAGGAGCGCGACTCGGTGGGGCAGTGTTGGGTGTTGCACGGCTTCACCTGGCGTTCTTCAGCCGGCGCGTCAGGAATGTGCAATCTGCTAGACCGCGGAGGTGAAGAACATGGCATGAACAATCGCCAGTTGTGGACTCTGAGTCAGTGTTTCCTCCACCCCACAAGTCTGACAGGATTCGGGCAGCTATATCATGAGGTGGAAATGTTTGAAGTTGTGCACCACGCACAAACCCATTCGCATGACCTGTGCTGCAGGGATAGCTCGAAGTAAGTTCATGAATCATGAACAGTCTGGAGCACTTGAAGGTCCCCGTTTCTCGAAGGTCGACCCTGCAAGATCCGAACCCCTCCGTAATACGGAGCGCATGGGCGCGGTTTGGGGAGGTCCGACGGTCCAAGAGGTCCGACCGATTAGTTACCTATATTGTTATCTATGATTTGTGCGTCAAATAGGGCATCATGCGGCATCAAGCAACTTCCTACCATCAACTACCAATGGGCAAAAAGACGAATACTGCCGCACTGTCAGCTGCAGTGAGCCCGACAACTTCAAGAAGGATCATTGAAACCAAAATGGTCTGGACTGCCAGAACAACTGTTGATTCAATGTGAAGTCTTTCGTGGCACGGCAAGTCCCACGACTGTCTGCCATGAGAAAGCCATGAATAGAAAGATTTCATCTCCGCCCAGGTGCGGTGAACTGCCTGGTGTGTAAATCCTTCAGCACAAGGAGTGCCGCCGTTTCGCGGTTCACGCGTCACCATCCTCCATCCGTCGAGTGAAGGCCGGTGCTTTCAGGGGAGTGTAGGCTCCCAACAACATGCGTTGAATGGAGGTCGCATGGTTGGCGTTCACTTGAAACATCTGGCTCCTTGGTTCTGGAAGGGGCTAACGAGAAGCCTCTGCATTCAGGGGTTGGAATGGGTTGGATGGTCGTAGTGTTGCAGGCATGCCTCCTTGCACGTGACTGGCGTAGGCTGAAACTGTCTTGTGACTGGGTGTCACGCAAACACTACTGCATAATTCCAGAAGAGCTGCATCTACATGGTCTAACCCTCAGGAATCTCATCCTCACGAAGATTCCCACACCTCCAAACATTTATCACTGAGGATCTGTGTATGTTCACATGTATCGTAGATCGCTCAGATTGGCAGCAAAAACGTGCTACTTACTCTTGAAAGAACTGTGGGACTGACTCAGCGTTAAGCACTCCACCTCTGACCCAAAGTGTGACCCTGGAATTGGCCTTCTTAGTGCAAGAAGCCAACGCAATGTGACACATCGTCGATGTAGCGACATCGACACGTCCGCGCGAGCGGTCCCACCTACTCCTGGAGCGCTCGCCCCCACCACAGGATTGGCTGCAAGGCAACCAGAAGTCTCGGATCGCGGGGACCAGTTGGATCCACCCAGCACGGTGGGATCCATCCACAGGAACTGGGCTTGGGAACCGGACTTGGGGGTCGGTGCTCCAACGGATGTTCAAATCTGGAATGGGTGAGGGGCAAAAACGGGACGAGGAATTGAACTCCGTTTCCGAGAATGCTGGGGCAAGATTTAGAGTTAAACAACCTGAACAACACTCAAGAGCTAGACTCGGTCAAGCAAGATGTTGTACAATAATAGTAAATGGATGTAAATGGTGTCTTCTCCTTCTTTCAGCGGTGCAGGGGAGAATTCTTCCTTCATCAGCTTCAGTGGTTGTGGGGCTTGGAGCAGTCAGGTGCCCGGAAACATTTCAACACCAAATCTGACAATCTATGGCTGGGAGTGTCATACCAATCCGTTGCTCTCTGAGGTGCACACCCCACTCTCCCAGCTTGCAGTCGACTGGCTCATCACCTCCCATGACATGGTGAACTGAAAAGGACGATCATCGCTGGATGAATTGACAATCATCGCAACAGCAAGGATTGACAGGCTGGCGGCGTGCTTAAACATTGATCGGTCATATTATGTCATGTTATGCCATGTTCATATTCACAATATATCTTCAAAAGATTGGCATTGATTGACCATCTTCTTCTACATGTTGACTCCCTACCCACCATGTTAAGTTGGCCTGGCCGAAACACAAGATTGTCGTTGCGCCCCAACCTTCGAAGCCGGAACGTTCTCCAAACAGGGCCAAGGTCTAAGTTCTGTACAAAACGCCAGGGCCCCATACAAAGGATAGACAGTTCCAAGAAGTTAAGAATCAAGTTACCCACAATATATACTACTTATGAGTGGGCCAGTGCTGGGTGGCTATGTGTAGCTCCTTCCTTTGGTTTGTGGGACTTGGATCCCGATCGCCACCCACTCTGCAGCTGCCTGGGCAGAAGATTTGGTTGCAAACCTCCACGCGTCTCAAAGCTCCCTCGCAGGGCCGGCCAGCATCCTGCGCGAAGCGCACCACCTGCCGAAAAAAATGTGAGAGTCAAGAGATTGGTTATGTGGGAGAGCCACTAAAAATCACATGAATGTGGCAGTTTAATATGTATTTCACAAGCGTTTGACTGGAGAAAGCAGGGTTAATATGAGTTGCTGATAGCTGCTATCCTGTCAACCGCTCTCAGAACAACATGCAAGCGGGAGGAAGCCCAGCAAGAAACATGTTTTGTCAGATGTATCAATACATATCAATACCCTACAGGAAGTACGAACCTTGAACATGGGCGTCGATGGGACCATCTACGCAGCTTTTTGGTTAGTGCTCCGACCCAGGTTCCGAAGGTTCGCTCAAGGCAAGGTGTTCCATCACTGAGGGTGCCAACCACCCGACCCACCCGTTGCCGACAAGGTCCCTCTTAGGATGGAGGGCACCTTCCCTCAAGCGAACACGACCGTTCACAGCGGAGTCACGGCGAAGCCGACAGCCTGTCGGCTTGAGAGATGTTGCCCATCGCCGCATTCACGAGAACAAGCGGACCAGGAGGACCTGGCCAGTTCAAGCTGCCAGCAAAGGGCGAACTGGCAGGCGATGGTTTGGTGATGCCCTGTGATGCAATCCACAGTAGTTGGTCAGTCTGTCCATGTCTGTCCTATAAAAATAAGACAGAATAAGGGGGGCCCGGTGCAATGGGGTTTGGTCACTGGTTTGGTCTGTTTTCTTTTGTCCAGGGGCTTTTTGAATGTGTTTCCTTTTTTGAATGCATCTCCGCGGTTATGATGATGCTTGGATTGTTGGTGGAGATCGGCCACCAGTTTTGTCAGGCTTGGCGGCCAGGTCACCTGGGTCGCCTGTCGTGACCAGGTTTATCGCCGAATGGATGGCACCGTGATCTCCATATTTTCCCTTCGAACCAAACCTGCTACCCGCTACAGTACCCATAATGCTATGCACAAGAACAACTAGATGAGGAACACAAAGGAAGAAACACAGCCACGGTATCGGCAGAAACCATAGCAAGAAAAGCACACAACCGTAGGAAGTGCAACAAACGACAGCGAGAACCCCCAAAACTCTTCGCTGGGCATTCATAGCTCCAAAGGTAGCAGAATCAAACCATCATAAGAAGACTTAGTGGCACAAAATGGCACAAAAAAACCAGAAAGAACAGATGTTTGACTAGAAAGAATGAACGAAAACCCAATTTGGACCCGCCACATGGCGCCATGAAGGCGCGAAAGGGACCGCCCAAGCACTTCTGTCTCCGTACTTCTGCGCCCTTCGGACGCCAAGACTTCGAGAGGTTGGGCGCTCAAGGGCCCCTCCGGGCCCCAAGCAGGGCCCCAAATCGCCACCACTCCAAACATGGCCAACGGTATGCTGCACCAGTCCATGCAAGTATCAAATCCCGCTGAAATACCTACCACCAATGGCAGCTGTAGTTGTATTGGCCTGAGGATATCCAACACAATGGTGTCATCGAGGGAAGCTCAGGGCCCTGCCATGGTGTCATGAGGCAGTCCACCGCTTGGCCGCCGCTGAGGCAGAACACGTCATGGGAAGACTCAGCGGCTCAGGAAGTGGAGGGAAGTGGTTAAGACTCAAGACTCTGGGTGGTTGTACACTTATGTGGAGGTCATGCAACTGGAAAGGCCAGTAGTTGCAGAATGTTTAAAATTCCGCAGCCCATAAAACATTGCGATGCATGGCTTTCATGGATGGCCCTCGAACTTAACACTGAACTGCATGGAAGGGGATTGGGAACATGTTCTTTCAGCTGGCTGGCGCCGCGGGTGTGGCACCGGCACGTAGGGTCCAAACTGAAGTCCGGGACACCTGCACCCTACTGAATGCATGCAAAAAACTCGAACACTGGATTATGGTGTGGGCTGTATAATTTTCGTTCAAGAGGTGTGACAATGGCTCAAGAGCAGCTATGGCAGCACGACCACCGAATTGGTTGCACTGCTGGCATCAGGACCACAATTGTGGGTGATCATGCTGTAAAAGATCAGATTCTGTGAGCAAAAGATGAGAAACTAATTGAACTTGGTAGCAACTCCAATCAACAACAATGAATGGGCCTGCGCCCTCAACCAACAACCAATGTCGACCAATGTCAACACAACCAATGCAATCACCGTCCGGTGGTGAACCTAACAATGCACAACGCTCGTGCTGGAACCTTTTCCGCTCACATGGCTCGAAGTCGTACGACGGCCCTCCCTGACGATCAAATGGCCACGGATGAGTCCACATGCTCAACAGGGTCTGACATGCCTTCTAATCTCACATCACCCCTACTTCTGGGCTCATCCGTGTCCCAAGGCCACCGCTGTTCCAATGCCAGCTTCTTCAGCTGTTCGATGAACAGGGATTCGGCTTCCTTGGCAGCCTGCTCAAGCTGTCGCTTGAGCTTGCGTCCGGCTGTAAATTGCTCATCATGGATGATGCGCCAGGACTGGCCTCGGGCCATAAATTGAAGGAAAACACGGCGCTCACCTGCCTTGGTTAAACAGTCGGCTAACTGGGCCAAACCGTTCACCCGGTCATCACTTGGATGCCTTGCTGGATGGCCAACGTGAGCTCGTATCCAGCTCTGCTGGACCTCAAGCCGTGCAAAGCTGAAACATTTCGGGTGATCGCGTCGAAGATCCCCCTAGTGTCCATCACCAGCGCACCTCCAATGCCCTGTCGAACCTTCTCGTAGAGGTTCTGTTTGGTCAGCTTCTCACCGTGCATTTCTGACCACATTGCACGGACCTTGAAGGTGACATCTTCGGCTTCTGTCACCGCCTGAACTTCAGCACCATTGCTGCCCAAACACTGCCTTGGTGTGCGTCCCGATCGCCAGTTGATGACCGAGACCAAACACTCAGCTCCTTCCAGCAGTTCCTTCGGTGCCAATCCAGTGAGGATTCCCAGCGTCGATGAACGATCCGGGCGATTCTGCTGACCAGCGTCGCACCATGAGGAGACAGCGATGAGGTCTCGCCAATGGCGTCCCCAGGCTGGGAACAGGAGGCTTTGGCTTGCAACTCTTCGTACTTCTCGTACGAGCTTGTTCAACTTGAGCAACGTCCCAACATTGGCCACGGTCACCTCCGACAAAAGAAGGCTGGTGTCGGCCTGAAAATGTGGACCTGTCCGCGCAGATTTCCAAGCCAGGGTGCCCAATGCTCCTCGCAGGCTGCTGATCTCTTTGGGTGTCAAAGGAGACTTGACTTGCTTGGCACGCTCCTTGCTCAAAAGGACCTCTTCAATCCACTTCTGCACATATTGCTCCTGATCAATGCGCAAGCTGCCATCTGCCAACTGAACCAAGTGGCAACCTGCAAACTCAATGTCTTCTGTCTGCCATTGCCCCACTTGTATTTGTCCAGCAACATCTGTTCCGCCTTCTTGAACTTGGGGTGAAATCATCCACGTGAATCCCAGCTGCTCCAATGATTGAATTGTCATCATCATCATACAACATGAACAAACAACGGTCGGCCAGGATTGTCTGCCAGCCATGCGACACCATTGTCTTTGTCACATCATTGAACCAGCAACGTGGCGCCTGCACCAAGCCGTAGAAAGCCTTGGTAATGCGAAGCACCGCTGATGGACTGTTGGGGTCCGCCCCAAACAGTACCGCCAATTCAGCAGGTGCGTGCACCGTCAACCCAAGCTCCTCCAAACTCTCCTCGGCCTGTAAAAATGCTGCTGTCACATCTCCAGCTCGAAGCCTAAACTTGTTGGCACAAAGTGAAAGCAACAAATTGCGAGAAACCCGTGCCATGGTCGGAGCTGCTGTCTGGATCTCTCCAATGCCCGGCGTCTGAAATCCCAACACCACCAGTCGAGACTTGCTGGCGCCATCAGCCTTGGTGGTCAGGACCCACCTCATGTCCATCACCTTCGACCAATCCAATGAAGCCAGCTCGGACTCCGTCAGGGATCTCAATGCCTTGGAGGTCAACACATTTGCCAGCTCCTTTGCTTGCGACATGTCAAACTGCTTCTTCTCCTCTAAACTCATCTGAGTCCAGCGATGCTCCTTGCCTTTCTCCAACATCTTCTTGGAGAGCCATATGCTTGCCTTGTCAGGGTGAGCTGAAAGAAACTTGGTGTCGGAGGGTTCGATGGGAATCTCCAACACATAGAAAACTTCGGAACTGTCGACATTCTCCTTCCTCTGCTGGGCCTCTGGTAGGGCCGTCCACTCCCCAGTGGTACCATAGAGTACCGGCGGAACTCGATGAGGATGTGGAACTTGAGGATGAAGAAGAGGATTCCTCCATGGTCGTTGTGGTTCCGTTTGAATTCACAATGAACTTCCGTCCTTGGCCATCTTCGTGGTGTCCGGAATGTCCACCTCGCAAAACACATGCATCATGACCACACTTGGTTGTGGTCTTGTCCTCCTCCGAATCTTCTCCCAGGGCTGTCGTCATCGGGCTCACTCCAGGTGTGCCTGGAGCTTCCTCCCTTGATGGAGGGGATCTCTTTGAGCCTTCCTGAACTCCTTCTGCCTTTCTCTTCCTTGCCTTGGGAGTTGCCTTGGACTTCTTCACAGCCATGGACTTAGCCGCTGCTGGTGTGCCAGGCGCTGCACTCTTGGATGCTGGAGTTCTTGGAGCAAAGACCACATCCTTCTTGGAGGTCATCTCAAACCAGGTCTCCCCAGTCCAACGTTCCTGCATAGAACGCGTGGGGTACTCAGCCTCCTTGAAGTCGTCTGCAAATTCCACCTCCTTAGCATCTTCTTGAAGTCCTCGGATCTTTGTCTTCCTTCGACCAGTCAGGTCATCCATTCCAAGGGGCATTGAAGTCATCCTGCCAGGGGCGAAGAGCGTCAGCCGTGGTGTTGTGTGTACTCGAACAAGCCACTTCTTGTCGCCCTCGTAGGCTGTCTTCCATGAATCTGGCTTCACCACATTGGCTGGTTCACGACGAACTTCTGCTCCTTGGACGTCCTGCTCCATTTGCTCCATCGACGGAGTATCACCCGTCACATCAGGGTAGTGCCTGCCGGTGAAGTTGCGAAGCAAAGACTCAAGAGTCACTGGCTGCATGATGATGGTCGTCCCGGTCAGGGTGGCTTGAAGCTCCTCTCGCCGAGTGCATGGACGCACTTGGATTGTTCGAGCTCTGATCAGGGAAGCTCCGGTTGCCAACCATAAAGTCTGGGACTCTTGCAGAAGAACTCGTACAGGACCAATCCAATTGCCAGACACCTTGCCTGGTCTGTTCTTCTGCCTCCACAGCATCACTAAAGCACCAGTCTTGTAGTTCTGCACCTTCTGTGGCACGGTGTTGTTCAATCGGCTCAGTCGGGCCTTTGCACTTTCCATCTCATAGGCGATCCTCGCCTTCTCCTTCAGCTTCAGCATCCCACCATAGGCCTGACGTGGATCCAGACCCAGTGGTAGTGCATCCATCGTTGGAGAAGCACCTCTCGTCCATTGGAAGGGCGAAAAGCCGGATGGTCCCACCGTCATGTTGTGTCCATGGGCTGCTAGGACAAAAGCCAAGTCCACCTCTAAGTCGGGAATCTCCTTCATGAGTCGGTGGACAGCATTTTTCATAATGCCAATGGATCTCTCCTCCGGTCCAAGTAGATGATGTGCTTCTGCAGGTGCAACGAGATGTCCAATGCCACTGCGGCCCAACCAATCATCCATGAACCAGCTGGCATAGTATGTCCCAGAATCTGTCAGCAGCCATTTCGGACTTGGATTGTGCATCATCCATCGTGCAAGGACCTTCACAATCACTTCACTCGTGGGCTCCCATGACTTCTCCTCATCAGCTTCTCCTCCATATGATCGAAGGTGTTCGACCATCAGCAGACCGCTTGCTCGGTCTCTCATCATCATGAACTTGTGTTTGCGGCCCTTGTGCTCGTACTCAAAGATGTCGGTCCCAACCACTTCAAAGAGTGTTGGGGTCTCATGTAATGATGCCACAGGCGCTGATTGCGGTCTCTTGGCCTCTTGACAGTCGGGGCACTGCATGTTCTTGGCTAAGTTCACTGCCCAGGATGGTGCCTTTCGAACTTGTAGGAGACGAGCCAACGAATGCCATGAGGCATGTCCGGATGCCTTGTGCACTCGAAGTAGTTGGGCTTTGATTTGTTCCAGGGCCTTGCCTGTCGGCGGTTCTTCAGAAAAGCGCTTTCTGGTGACCGCTAGAATTGATGGGTCTTCGTGACGAACCCAACCTTCAGCTCGACTTCTCTCCTTGTCCTCGACTGCTGTGAACAGGCCATAGGTCTCCGCAGTCTCGTTGTTGCACCGTCATCAACCTCATTGATGTACCAGGACACGTCCGAAGCCAACGAGGTTCCGGCCTTTTCATCTATACGTGTCCAGGAGGCATTGTCTGAACTGGGTGTCCTCGCCACTGCAAACCATATGCACAGCCGTGGAAGTGACACCAGTAGAGCCGCCGACCGTGTCGGCGCGCCAATCTCTCAAGCCGTTGAATGGCGTTGGATCTCCAGCCCTTCTTGGCTCCTGTTGGCCATTCCCAACTCACATCGTCTCCAGCCTCTAGCATGGGCTCCACCGCCTGCACCACCTCATCTGCCCTGCGAAGATCTCGGCCTTGACGCTTCTGGAATGCAGCTTCCTCCACCTCATTCCTCATAGTGAGGTTGACCAAACCTGTCAACCTTGTGCATGGCAAACTGACCCATGCATGGCGTGGCCGCTTCTCCTTGATCATCTGAGACAGGGCTGTGGTCCCGGACTTCTTCTCCAGGTCATAACCACTCTTGAAGTTCACCCTCGTGCAATGGTGTCCAAGCTCCTCCATTGCCGTAGTCATTGAGGAAGTGGGCGAACATGCGATCTCGACAAAATCTGTCCCACTCGAGAGCTGTCCAAAGAGCCCTCGAACAGACATCACCATCATAGCACTCAGCATCGCTGAGTTGGCTGCAAGCTTTCGTGCCGTTGAGGGTGGCACTCCATGCTTCTTTCCTCCTCCACGACCTGGAAATGGCAATTGCTCCTCCACCAAGTTGCCCTGATGCCGGCTGGCGCTATCATCTCGATGGCTGCCTTGAAACTGGATGGCACTTCGGGGTTGACTTGATGGACTTGCATGCTCATCCACTGGAGTCGTAGTGCTCGTAGTGCACGTGGGTGTCGTGGGGCTCTCAACCGAACCCTTCAGCCTTCGCTGGAGACTCTTCAGAGCTGCCCAGATGCCTTTGAGCCCTTGGCCGGAGTCACCTTCTCCTCCTCCGATGAGAAGATGTCCACTGGCTCCATCACCTCCTTCTTCTTGGAGGTCTTCATCCTGCCCTCGGTCTTGACCGGTGTCTTCGGCATTTCTGGTGCCTCCTCGGCTGCCTTGGCAATGTGGGCTTCCACTGCAGCCTTGAAGTCCTCCGGATCGAGGGAGTCCATGCCGGTCTTCTTGGGCAGGTAATCCGCTGCGGCCATGCGGATCAGGTCGTACTGAGCAATCCCAGCTTCTTCGTTCTTTTTCTTCGGACTTGCCTCGTTCGGCGCTGAGGATTGCGCTTCCGGCAGCAATGTCTTGCTCTCCACCTGGGCTCCCATCTGCTTGGCATACTCCTGGAAGTTGAAGGTGAGGTTGATTGCCATGGTCTCCGTCAGACCTCTCTGCATCTGGAGGCCCTTCAACTCCATCACCTTGCCCATGACGATCTTCTCCGCGCAGTCGTTCGCTGACATTGACTGCTGGAGCTGATCCAGAGCCAGGCGAACCAGATTCGGATGGGGTCCGCCTGACCTTGTCTCCCCATGGCCCTTGGGCTTGACCTCGTACGTCAGCCTGAGTCCACAGCGAGCGCATGTCGACCAGCTCGCGAACTGGTTGCGCCGGATCTTGCCCGTCTTGTGGCGTGCATTGCATGGCCACTCGGTCAACCGTGGGTCTTGACTGCCACATGGTTGAAGACGGCTGCTTTCCATCACGAAGCCGGAGTTGAAGATCTCTCAACCTTTGAGCCAGATCGCTAGTGGGCATAGAAGGTGAAGTGCAAGATGCTGTGAACATATAGATGCCCTTGTCGGGATCATTCAACTGCTCATCAACTGCCAGGGTAGGTGTCGTTGTTGCAAACCACATGTGGGGGTTCTCCATGACTGTGGCTGTTTCAACCAAATCCAAGGAAAAATGGTGTGTGTGGTGAGCTCCCATCTTCACTGCATACCACGAGGTCTTCTGAGGGTCCTGACCTCGATAGATGAAGAGGTCGTTGTCGTAGGCCAGCATGGCCCCAAGCTGCCGCAGGGTCTTGCCTCCGAGCAGTGGTGGAGTCTGAGTTGCATCATGGCCCAAAACGTAATAGCTCACTGCACCAATCGAAGTCCCTTGGATGTCCGCTCGGCTCAGTGCCTGTGCCTGGTGTCCGTTCCCAAACTTGAACACTGGTCTATCATGAACATCAACAGTGTAAATCAAACCAGACTGTTCGAGCAGCTGCTGGAGTGAGTCAGCACCTACAGCATTTTCCGATGCACCTGTGTCCACTATGACTCGTGTGCCTTCGGTCACGTCCGACATGAAAATGCCAGGGGTCACGGACAATGAATGAAACTGCACGGCCTTCCCAGAACCTTTCCCGGGTGAACGACCAAATGAGCTGCGGGCGAACGATTTGCCACCTCCTTTGGAAAACCTGTCAGGGCAGTCCTTGTAGCTGTGACCTTGCATTCTGCATACGAAGCACGGACCAAAGCTCCTGCCCTTGCCACCTGAATTGCTCTTGCCGCCAAACGACTTGCTTTTGCCCTTGCCCTTACCAATGCCCTTTGTTGCTGAGCCCTTGCCTGTCGCCGACTCTGGCGCGAAATAGCCACGTGCTTGACGCACACGACGAACGGCGTCTCGGGCTTCAGCCAAGGTTCGATTGGCCTCTCCTGCAAGGGCGTAAGCCTCACGTAGTTGCTGCTCTGCTGGATCCTGACCCTCTTCATGAGGAATGGACTCATCTTCAACGGCCCAATCCCACTCGCCAGCGTCATCCTGCCAGTCTGAGGTCCAGTTCCAGTATGCTTCTTCCTCACCATCTTCCCATGATGAGGGACTTGGATCGTGCTCCCAATTCCCTGGCGCTTCATCGAACTCATCCCAACCAGCATCTTCCTGCTGCCACCAGATCTTGGGCTTGCGGCCCCAATGTTGCGATTCTTCTTCCTCTGCAAACAATTTCCGCAATGCTCGACGAATCTGGAGGAAGCCGGTGCTATTGCCCGTTTGGGTCAATATGTTTTGTTTCTCTGAACTGGTCAGCTTCGCCGCCTTCAACAGGCGATACCCCCTGAGCTCGTCCTCGAAGAAATCAGGCATGTAGGCGGGCTGAGCCTGAGGTGTGGACACCACAGGGTCAGTGCGCTCATGCTCAACAAACCGCATCCCAGCCATTGGACTCTGTGAAGGCGTTGAAGGTGGTCCTCTTCCAGTGACTTGCTGAATCATGGGAGGTGCCAACAATCCCCGGTCTTCCCGAGCCCTAGTCAGAGCAGATTGTAACTGCACAAACATGTCCTCCTCTCTGACTAGAAGCTTGGGGATTGACTCACCGGGCAACCGCTTCAACATGTGCCATGCATCAAGCCGCTTGAAACTGTCTGCAATGGGCAATGCTTGTAGTGGAGATTTCCTCAGCACATCAACAAGGCGTGATAGCCCATCATCAGCTTCATAGTCATCGGGATCTAGGTGCCGAACCACTGCACGTGCCGGTCCAGTCAACCTGGCCCAAATCCGACTTGCTGCTTGCTGCCTCTCTGAGCTCTTCAATGACTTTTGCATACCAGCGGCATGCCGTAGCGAATGCTTCAAACTCAACAGGGTCTCCTGACCAGGTCGGGATTTCAGCTCCTTTGTCAAGCACCATGGCGGGAGCCCCCAGGAAGGGGCTCCGCTACCATGAACTTGGTAGCAACTCCAATCAACAACAATGAATGGGCCTGCGCCCTCAACCAACAACCAATGTCGACCAATGTCAACACAACCAATGCAATCACCGTCCGGTGGTGAACCTAACAATGCACAACGCTCGTGCTGGAACCTTTTCCGCTCACGTGGCTCGAAGTCGTACGACGGCCCTCCCTGACGATCAAATGGCCACGGATGAGTCCACATGCTCAACATGCTCAAAAGGGTCTGACATGCCTTCTAATCTCACACTAATCATCTGCGCACAGAAAGGCACTGACAATGCTTGAAGAGCAAAAAACACATTGCAGCGTTTCGCCCATGCAACGTGCTGAACTTAGCCATACGTGACGAATATCTGGATTTCACAAGTACAGCTACACAGTCTATTTCGGACGGTGCAAAGGTGGATCATGGATCATCCTGGTGACATCGACGTGAGATGCACCGAGGAACCTGCTCGGAGAACCATATGAGAGGAAGCTTGAGGTTTCTAAGGCGAGAGGTAGGGTGAGCCTGGATGGTACCACCTCTCTTTGTGGGGGCTCCAGTTGGGTGTATCCCATTCTCTTTATGAAAGTGGATGATGATTAGTGAAGGCCTTTCTCATTGATCGACTGTTACAGGTGGGACACACACCCCACTGTCAACCCGCCGTACTGCGTGGCTCGGGGGCTCGTCCGGGCCACCCAACGCCGCAGGGCTTGAGCTCCCTGGTGGAGCCTCGGCACGCCTCTCCGCCTGTGGCAGGTGCATGTGGAGCATGTGGATCTCTCTTTGCGGCAGGTAGGTCGTTCTTCAACCCAAAAGTCGAAAGGCTCGCAAAAGCCGAGAAGCCGACCTCATACGGAACAGGATGTCAGAGGGCATTGGCTGAATATGGCTGAGGAACTGGCTGAGTACTCCAAAGCAGGGAGAGCAAACTCAAAAGCGGCAAACATTGTTCCTTTTCGATTTCTGCTCCTATTACTCGGAACAGAGGGGCACACCAGTTCTAAATGGATTGTCATTATTTAGTTGGGTTGGGTGCGTTCCCATGGGGAAGGAGGAGTCGACTTGTGGAAGCCCATACTTCAGCATGAATCCCTTGCCTGATCCCCGAACTAGCATCCTAGAACCACAAAAAATCAGGTAATGGAGGACTACGGGGTGGTTCGTGATCTTCATCAACGTTCTTCCTCTTCACCGATCCCCATTGGATTTCCATGTTCTTTTTCTGAGAGGCTGATGAAACCACAGGTGAATGTGTTCCAGAGACAAAGACTGAAAGACTGATGGTAATTCCAGTCTGCAAAGTCTGCAAATGTCATTTGCTTTGACCCTCTGTAGGGGCTATCATCTGAGTTGTTTTTAACTCTGGGATGGTTGGCTTTGCAGTCTGAAAGTCACTTTGACCCTCTTGAGATTCGCCTCCAACCGCTGGGAACTCGATGCTACGGGTGCGCTGCCGATGGCCAGTACACCTGAGCTCAACGCATCCCACAGCGATACAAGCGCGCGTAAGAGTCTGGCCTCATAGGCACAAACCCTGGATAAGACTGACACTATGTAGAAACCCGACTAATTTCTGTAACACTGTAGAGATTATAGTAAGTTGTCAGCAGTTAGAATCTGCTGGGAGCAATTACTTGGAGATAGAATATGAAAACCACCTAAAAAAGTAATTCCCCGAGCTGTGTGCAGTTAGAATGTCAACTGCAATTAGAATATGTTCTGATAGAATCTCAAAACATGCACTCATATGGAAGAAAACGAAAGAACAATAGACATGTATGACTTGTATGACTCATGTATATATGTGACTGTATCGAGATATGCGACAATTGAATATCCTTCATATTCTAACTGGATGTACCGTTTGTATTCTAACTGGGTTCGAGGCATTTAGCAGCATTTTTTTCAGCTTGCACTTATAATTCAAGCAATTTGAATTAGTCCATATTCTAAGTATTTTCTAAGTGCTGGCAGCTTACTATACCCAATTCTCTTTCAAAACATATCATATCAAAATGGAGTGCCCTGGTGCGAGTCGGCTTCTGCAGTGATCAATTCTGAAGCTGGGCTTTCAGAGCCCGAACAAACAACAGGTTGCTTGCTGGAAAGCACATTGCCCCATGGAATCATGCACACACCAAGAGACGCATCTTCAGCTGAAGAGTGGTTCATTTGAACCCCAATGTTGAGACAGCCTCTTTACTAGCCTCTTTCTTTTTGTGTTCTCTCGCTCTCTCTGCATTGCCATCCTCCACCTCAAGCAGCGTGGAGCCGCTCACGGTGGATTTAGCACCGCTTCGCTCACGACACGAGCTGTGACAGCGTACTCACGTACACCGAAACAAGCATCCCGAGAACGCCGGAATCCAAAGTCATTGCACCGCAGGACTTTGTAGTTCTGTGTTGCGGATTCGGTGTGGCCGAATGTCGAAGGGTCTTGGGGTGCCAAATGCCGGATCCGACCTTCTCTTCCACAAGGAGCGGTAGATCGAGTTACATCTAGTTGCAACCTCAATTATGCACATATGTTGGAACACATGCCAACAGTCAAAGACTCTCGGTCCTGCTGACAAACGAGAAACATCTGAGAACCATCTCTGCTTTTCGTTGGCTCTGCTTCGAACAGCAGCGGCTTCTTGGATGGCGACCTCAGCGGACGACCAAGATACAAGATGTATGTATATGTTTGAAAAACTATATATACTATATATATATATATCTAATTACTAAATGATTATGTATATACTATACGTAAATGCATAGACTCACACATCTAGTAGGAGGTTCCGTCAAGCAAGTGTGCATGTGCCATGTGGCTATTGACAAGATGATGAGCCCCGTATCCTTTTATGGCCTGGAGCATCCACGGCATATGAGTGTGAGAGTTGTACTCTAAATCATTCGTGTTGATCGCACAATTTTGAAGGAACAACTGGTACGCGTTCATGTGTAGTGCCTCTCCTTTTTGGGTCTGGATATGTCTGGATTCAGAGAGGGATGCAAAAAGTTGCCAGAACATGGTGCAGCAGTCTGTGATGTTTGTGCCCTTTTTCAAGTGCATCTCTCGCGGCACTTCGGCAGCATCAACATCCTCAGCCTAAGAACCCTACGACTTCAGTAGTTGAAGGGCCTTGTCGAATGCTTCTTGAGGCTTGAAGTTGCCTCCTTCAGCGCTCTGGAAGTACTCTGCCTTGGCCTTGACCTCGTCCAATGTCGGATGATTCGATTGGGTCAGAACTTGTAGAGCCTTTTCGATGGCATCATCTGGCTCCAGTTCCCCCTCGATGCCGAGGATGTATTCTGTCCATGCCTTCACCTCGTCCAGGCTCGGATGGTCTTGGAGCAGAAACTCGTTGGCACCTTGTGCCAGCTCCATCGGCTTCGGTTTTAGGCCGAGGCTTGAGAAGTATTCAACCCACAGCTTCACTTCCTCTAAGGTCGAATGATTCTTGGACAAGATTTCCCCGGCTGCATCGCAGGCATCTTCTCGCTTTGATTCCTGGTCTAAGCCGACGAA